CTGATTTCAGGCAGATCTCAATTTTTTTATGGAGATAATGTCTTGTCTTTTCTGCATGTCCCAGTTTCCTCCTCTGGGATATAAGGTGTCTTGTGTGGATGCATCTCATTGTCTTTTCTTTTGAAAAAAATGCAGATCACATTGCATTGATCATAGAACTTCTGGGGAAGATACCTCGCAAGCTCATTTTGGCAGGAAAATATTCCAAGGAGTTTTTCACCAAAAAAGGTAAAAGGAGACAAAGCAAATGTCACTTATCCCCTCATCCCCTGCCCCAAATACACAAGAGTGCCCTGCTGGAAATGCCAGTTAACAACAGATACAAGCAAAGATGCCTCTTTAAGTCTTTTTTTTGTTTTGTTTTATGAAGGTTTTCTTGGTGAAACTGCAGCTAAATAGAAAGCATGCTTGTCTGTCTAAAAGGAACTACACCCTAGGCCTTGACGTATCAGTGTAGATCAAATGCAGCAGGTAGAAAAACAGTACTGTAGATGTTTCTCCAAACTTGAGTTGGCTTTATTTAGCTGATCTCTGTCAGCTAGAGGTGTTGACTCGCCTTTGAAGTCTTCTCTGGATGACTTTGTTCCATTTCGAGTGTGCCACTCGCCAAAATAGTGCCTTGCATCCTGAGCTGTGTTGCTCAGGATACATTCTGCCTTGCTGCTGATCATAAAGCCCTAGGGACCTCAGAAATTCACTGAGTCTCAAGAAGAAGTTTTTGGCCTATTTTTATAGGTTTGGTTTTCTTTTTTTTAAATAAAACAAACACTTTTTTGTTAGTAGCATATCGCTTCCTCAGACAGTGCTGCTTGTATTGTGTGTGTGCCAAAGTCAGTGGCAGAGTGTTTATCTTCTATGTCAACCCGTATAATTGGTGATTTAATTAAGTTAAAATTGAATCAGAAGCAGCAGGAGGGGGGGGAAAAAAGCCTTCAAGGAAGTACATGTCTAGAACAGTCTTCAACAGCAGAAAAGAGGTTGTAGTCTAACTTATTTCTTCCTTCCACATGCCCCACCATTGAATGCTTCCATGCCCCACGATTTGGAACAGTTTCTGGATTCAGTCTGTCTTGTTCAGCTGCTCTGCTCCCACGACTTGCGCTGAACTTGTCTGTCTCGGTTTTCAGGTGATCTGAAGCACATCACCAAACTGAAGCCCTGGGGCCTTTTTGAAGTCTTGGTGGAAAAATACGAGTGGTCCCAAGATGAGGCAGCTGCATTCACAGACTTCTTATTACCCATGTTGGAGCTGATCCCGGAGAAACGAGCTACAGCAGCAGAGTGTCTCAGGCACCCCTGGCTTAACTCCTAGAAGCTTCAACCCAACGCCACAGCACTACACTCTGGTTTACAGCATAGCGTACAGGCACCCAGCTGCCCTTTCCCGGATCCGTTTTGTTTTGTTTTGTTTTTCCCCTTGTTCATTCACAGTGTGAAGTTCTTCCTTCAAGGCTTCCGAGATTTTAGATAAATCTAACCTGTTCTGCTGAGTTTGCTTGTGTGACTCCATGGGTTCTCTCCTCAGCCAGTGGGCATCATCTGTGTGTTTTTGCCTTGACTGGGCTTCGCCAAAGACTAATTGACTAGAAAATTAAGCTTTCCCCGAGTCTCCTCACTGTTACGCGCCGTGTGTTACAGATGTGAGCTCACCTGTGCTCAGATACGCTCCCTTAGCTAAATTTCAGCTCTCCTTTCTTCGCGAGGGGGGGCGTGAAGATCTTGAATGCCTCGTTATCTCCCTGACTCAGGAGTTGATTTCCCGCTGTTGATCCAGTAGCTAGTAACAGATGGCACCAAGGTGGTGTTAGTTCCCTGTAGAGCAAAGACCTCAACATCCTCCAACATTTTCTAGGTGTCTACCGTATTCTTTTGCCTTCCAGTCACATAACTTTTCTTTAGTTCTAGCTGCTTAATCTTTTGAAAAGAGCTAGTTAAACCTAGGTTTTAGTACCCTTTATTTCTTCCTCCCAAGTGCCCTGTCCCTTTTTCCTTCCCCATGCCCAGATAGTCAGAATAGCTTCTGAACCCGGCGACATTTTCTGCTTTAAAGCCTGTGACAAGCAAAATAAGTAAAAGCTGGAACTGACTCGACGCACAATCCGCAGCGTACAGATGGGTTGCACCCTTTGGCTGCAGAGAGGTGGCCTTCTTGCAGGCAACTCTTCTAATGTTTTAGCGAGCTGTAAGTTTTGGGGGTTTTATCCCTTTCCTGGCACTTTTTTGCCCTGCTTGAGGTGGTTGCTGTATCCGTGAGAGATTAGTTTTCACCGGTGCAGTCTACTCTGGCTCTTCAATTTTTGACCATTTGCTTTTTTTCCAAGAGAAGTGTGGCAGCATCTGTGTCACAGCCACGCGATAGCCTTTGACTTTCAAGGTTGACACTTGAAGGCCCTGTGTAAAGATTTCTTTTCCTTTAACTTGCTTCAGGTGCTGGCCTTCAGAAATGACTTCCCAGGATGGGACTGCCTTTTATTTTCTGGGCAATTAGCCCAAGGAGAGCTAACAGAAGTGGGACAGAACTGACTTTTCCGTGTAGATACTGGATTAGAAGCTGTTTCTAGAGTTACCCCAAATAAAAATGTTCTGCAGGGTTTCTATAAACTTAAGAGGGGGTTGGATATAATGAGTAAATGAGTTAATTTTAATTAAGTCACTGTGGCATTCGGTAGTTTTATGATGGCTTCTAGACTTGCCCATCCTGTTACAGATTTCAGTGGATCCCGCTCTACTCTAAAGCAAAGATTTGGCAGCGTTGAGACTTCAGAGGCGCTTCCTTACCCTGGACCAAACAGGCCTTTGGATTCACGGTGGCTCTGGGAGGATAGAAGTTGCTGCAGGAGCCCGTGCAGATGCCATCCGAGACGATTACATTGCCAAAGCTGCCAAGACCACTGTCTTGTGTCACTTCTGTGTGTGTTTGGAAATCCTGGTCCGTAGGGATTGTTCGTTCATAAACCTTTGGTGTCATTTAATCAACTTGAAAAGAGTTTCTCCGGTCCGGTGCCTGGTGGGGCTCATGAATGTGGATCATGCTGCGTGTTCTTCTAGGGCTAGATCAGGTTCTCTATGCATATAATCTAAAATTAAAGGAAGGTAACATACCAAAAGTTTTAAACTGCTGATTTGACTTTTTTTTTCCCCCCCTTTCATCTGGAGTTTTCCCAGTTGTGTGTCACTTCCATGTCCCTTCCAGCAGCACTGCGGGGACGATGGGGTTCCCCAAAACCCTCTGTTGACTTACTGTGACGATACATTCGCAGGGCAAACGATTTCTGTTGTCTTGAAAACTCCCCTGGTCCTGTCTGCTGATGAAAGAACTTTTCTTAGAAGGGGTCTGCACGCTTTGGCTTTGAGAGCTCCTTCCCTCTGCCAGCCCTGACTGGAGGAGGAGGATTTTTACTGGGATAGCCAAGGCTGGAGCCAGCTTGGGAGTGAGCCGAAGCCCCGCAGAAGCAGCTTTCAGGATTCAGTCTTGTACCGTGCGCTCGTTCACTTGGGGTGTGTTCAATTTCCAAATTGCCGTAAAGTGCTCACACTAAAGGATTTGTACTTGCTATGTCAGTCTGAAACCTGAAGGAAAATACATTTTTATTCTTTCTACTTGGGTGCTTTGTCTTTTTTTTTTTTTCCCTTTGTGAAAGCCGTACAATAAACAGATTATTTAATAACTGAGCCCTATTCCTCTTATGTTCCCTCTGTAAGTCTGTTCTTTCTGAGCCAGGGGCCCATCCCTTCGTGGAATCTTCTTTGCTGGTCAGCGCTGGGTTTGGATTCTCTGGAATCGGACACAGGGAGATGGTGTAAGTGAAGATTTTGTTGCTGTTATTGTGATCTGTTTAGAAGGGGCAGAAAAGCAGTAAACAGCAGGACAGCTCTGCTGGAGTTTTACCATTCTAAAACATGTTTCTCCACTGCGTCTGTCTGCTGCCGGCCCTAGCAAAGACTTGACAAAACCTTCCCAAACCCTTTTTTTTTTTTTTTTTTTTTTTTTAGAGGGAAACTTAAAACTGGAAGGTGCTTTAGAATTGAACTGGCTGCTCCAGGGAACAACAAACGACAGCAAATAGAGATGAAAATCATTAACAGAGGCTAATTTTGGGTTCTGACCAGGTCAGAGCTGGATGGGATGATGTGCTGCTGCTTTGGCTTCTGCAGAAACGGACTGTGCCCAAGGCTGCCGCAGGTGGGTGCTGGATGTGCCGAGAAATGACGGTGAAACTGGGTTAACTGGGTGGTGCAGGGAGCTGATGCTGCCTGGCCCCACCTGCTGCACTTCGCAGGCTCTGGTACACACCTGCTGCAGCCCAGGTTTTTTTTTTCCAGAAAAATGCCTTTTTTAAAAGGTTGAGTTTGGTTATTGTTGTCCAGAGTGGGAAGCTGGTTCCCAGCTCTGCTAGGAATTGATTGCTGTGGTGTTTTTCAAGTACAAGGACAACCTGGGACGTGGCAGAGGATTTCCCCTGCCACAAGGACACCAAGAGGAAATCCAAAACACTCATGGTTTTTTATTCAGGAGGAATTTCCTTGAAAGAAGGTGTACAAACCCCAACAAGCAGCAACTTGCCATCCCTCCCTTTTTCCCCACATTTACTGATGGACTCAAAAAAAAAAAACAAAAAAAAAACCAAACACCTGTGTCCAGCTTGGGCTCTTCCCATCAAATCAACTCCACAAGAGCTGCGAGCCAAGAGCGGCCCCGTAAGTGGAAAGAACAGTCGTAGAAAATCTGCAGAAGCTGGTAAGTTTAAAGCTCCTGGAAAAGTCACTTCAAAGAATTACGGGCTGATGGAAGAAGAGCTCTGGGTGCCCCTGGAAGAGAAAGAATAACTCAGCTGTTGCCAAAGGGGGTATAACTTCAAATTTTAAGATTTGTTTTCTTCTTATTCGGTAAGGATTTATGTTTTCTTGGTTTCAGGAGGCAAAGCGAAGACTATTTCCCCTTTAACCACAGCGAAAACCAATATGACTTTAGCACCAAAATCTATACAGGTGTCAGTCCGTTAGTAACCAAAATACACCAGCAACATGACGTGGTGGGGAGAAACGGTAAAAAAATCAGCGTGGGCTGCACTTTCGTGGCGATCAGCTCCGTCAGTCATTGCCCTCTTCTGTAAAACAAAAAGATAATGACACTGTTAATGGGATACGGTACAAAACTGAAGGTGCAGCTGTGTTTTCCAGGTTTGTTTTCAAAAAGGGGTAAAAAAATTTTACCACCATCCTCCCAACCACCAGCCATGGGCTGGAAATGCTGCGCAGCAGGACGGGGCTTGGAGCTTGGCCCCAGCCGCCTTTACCTTTCTCTTCCACTTTAAAATCGGACGGGAGGAGGTTGTCCTGCCGGTTCCCCAACACGAACGCCAGGAAGGAGAGGATGAGGGCGTCGAGGATGCCGATGATGCAGAGGATGTACGCCCAGCGCACGGTGCAGGCGCCCAACGTGTATTTGTCCGTCTTGTCCCCGCACAAGCGCTTCACCTCGCTCGAGTCCCAGCCGTCGGGGTAGATCAGGCACCCGATCATCAGCCCGGTAGCTGCGGGGAGAGGAGACGTTACAGCCACCTGCGGAGCCTGTACTGCCTGCGGAGGAGCATGGCACGGCTGCATCCAGCTGCAAACAAGCGGATAAATTATTATGGACCAGCTCATCAGGTTGAAATGTTCCCTGTGCCTGGCGGTTGCCCATCACTGTGGGCTCTGCTCCGTTTGCGCTGCTGCAGCCGGGGAGGAGCAGGATCTGGCATTGGTGGCGGCTGCTCCCCATCGAGGACACGCTACTGCAGCAGCATCTCCCATCCCTGCGTTGCCCGGGCAACATTTCTCCTGCCTCCGCACACGTCCCTGCCTGTGAAGAAATATTTTCTGCCAACAAAACTGGGCTGGGTTTAGCCTTGTTCTTGCCCTGAGTGTAGCTGGATTTCGGTTCATGGTTAGCTAAGGCAGAGCTGCGGCTAGCAGCAGCGTTGTGGGCAGATGAATTCAGCTTGTTCAGCTGCAGCCGTTCCAGCCTGGCCATGAGCCACCGGCTGCTTTCAACGTCCCACCCTGGCACACCCCCAACCCTGGCGGCCGATCCAGCCCGGCCACAGAGCCCTCGGCACGTCGCCTTTGCAGCTTTGCCCTGGGAGCTGCAACAATGCCAGCGAAGGGCTGTCTTCAGCTCATGTCCCAACATCTCAGAAATAATTTTTTTTTTTTTTTCACTCAAAGTTGTTGTTGTATTTGGTGGACAAGACCAAGGACCAGGCTTGGACTGGAGGAGAGCTGAGCTCATCTGCAAGGCTTTGGGATGTGATTAACGGAGGCTCTTCACATCCTCCACCATTATCTTGGTGCAGGGCATGGTTGTAACAGGTCTTTTCTGTGTTTTCATGCAGGTGTGAGGATCTCCTGGGCTCCTCATGCCAGAACCAACCCCACGCTGGCAGCTCTGGATGAGCACTGGTGCTCCCTGCCCTTGGTGGACATCAGCACAATGCTCTCTGCCCTGCTCCAGTGCCTGTTCTCTGTCCCTGGGTGCTCAATAAACCAGAAATCATCCCTGGGGTGTTGCCTCGTGCTTTGCTGAAGGTTTTTCTCCTTGGCTTGAGGCCAGGAGAGCAGCAAGGCCAGGGGGCAGCTTCTGAGGGCTGCAGAGAAGCAGCCGCTTTCTTCTGGATTTAATTACTCTTCCCTGGAGCTAGCAGAGCGGAGGGGTACGGAGAAATGGGGGAAGCTGCAAGGAAATCACTTCTGCTGTGAGAATAGACCCTGGTGCAGAGCAAAGGCCAGCCTGTGGATCCTCTCCTCGCCTGCCTCCTTTTATAAATAACTCCCAGAAATGCAGCAGCGTCTGCATTGCCCAGTGCTGGCTCGAAAGCTCCTGAGAGCCCATCTGCTGCAGAGAAACGCGGCTGCCAGGGATGAGTCTGGCTCGTTTGTGTGGCTGGAGCTGCCTGTACTGGGTCTTTCTCCCCATCCAGCACAAAAATGTACATAAACCTCCAACCACGCCAGCAAAGCCTTTCCCTGGGACGCTGAGCTGCCCCAAGCCTCTTATCTAAATCTTGGCTTGAGCTCGCTGCTTTAGCAGGGAACTGGAGCAACCCCCATGTCACAGCCGTCCTCCCATGGGGTGTCAGTGGGAGTGTCCCTGCTGTGGGGACACTTGGGGACGGCGGGGGCTGTGGAGGGTCCCAGCATGAATGATTCAGGAGCAGTGAAGGGCTGGGTTGGGTTTCAGCCGGGGCTGCAGAGGCAGGAGCCAGGTTACCGGGTGTCTCAG